TAGGCAGGCATCTTCAGATCTAAAGAAGCTGAGCATCACGACGTTTTTTATTCTGATTGGTGCTTGTTATCTCGGCTTTTGGAAATCGAACGAGTGACCCTTTGGTCATGTGACGACGGATCCACCAACCAGTTTGCACAGGTGGAGAGCCCGAACGAGTTGTGAAGTTTAGCCAGACTAGCTGTTAACATATTCAAACACTGACTACTGACGAACTGGGTGTTTTCAACCGAGTGGAAATCAAACATCATGGAGGGTCTGAAGAATATGTTTTGTGCATGACAGAAAGTAATGTGAACGCCTTCAAATCTTCGAGAGGTAGAGATTGTTTGGCTGCTTTCCACTCTGGGCGGAGGCTCTGAGACATCTCCAGGTCTTTGACCACCGATGCCTCAGAAAAATGTCTGGAATCGCTTGGGACCAGCGGATTCGGAATGCGGTGATCAGCGAACGGGCTTTTCGTGAAGTAGAGGTACTTCACTCAAAGAATGCCTCTAGTAGTGCAAGCTGAGGTAACTGGGCCATGTTTTTCGAATCCCGAATCAGTGCTTGCTGATACACGTGCTATTTTCCGCGCCTCATTCGGAGTGGTAGGAACCTAGGGGTAGGCAGAATTTGATGTGACAGAAGAGACTGAAGGATGTTACGAAAATTATGGGGACTGGTTTCCTTTTCAGCTTCTAGGATGGAGTCCATGTGACCCTCCCGGTGCTTGGATGGAGGTGCTGAACGGTGTCAGTGACATTCGTCTTGCCAGTTTATATCCACTGTGTTGCAGGCGTAGGCACGTCAGGTGTTTGTGATAGGCTAACCCTAGGTCCTCTCTCTGTCCCGTCTTTCTCTTTCCATTGTAGGGTTTTATTCACATAAAATGACGTTGTTATACAGCTGTCAAGCACCCTTGCTCTCTGATGTTTGCGTTAATGGTGATTCCGCTTATCGGGTTGCATGTAGAGAAGCTGATCCTGATAATTCACAACCGGTTTTTGCGAAGTATTCGTTTGGGAAATTTTTCAAACAGGACGTTATTTGTTGTGTCATTTTGGATGTTGTTTCTGGAATGAAGGGATCATATTGATACCATGGCGAGTCGGTCCAGTGAACAATCCGAGTGGGTGAGCTTATTATTGTACCAAACATTTGTGCAGAGCTTTGGGGGTTATAGGTTCATATTGTTCAAACCTATTGAATCCTTAGGCATTTCGGGGTAACCACCTTTGAATTTGCCGAACAGAATGTCGGTTTATCTCTTTCGAATTCTCTATTGGTTGTTCTGTATTCCGTAGAGCATGGGTGGTACTGAGCTCTCGCTGTCGTCGGCACAGTAGCAAGCCTAAATAACCTTACCTGGTTCACCGCACGAAACCCCGTGTCTAGTCTGCCAGCTTATCTATGTTTTTCACTGGTATCAATTTTCATCATGCGTGCATCAGATTCTATGTCTGTAACACAGGCCATTCCGGAGTTGCTGAAAGTACCACTGTGCAGACGAAGCTGACTGGTGGTTAGTGGCAGCTTATCATATGTGCATATTTTTGGTGCGTCTTACAATTTGTACGGGCCACTCTTCACACAAATCATGAATCTCAGTCGTTCGGGTGCCGTCAAATGTGTTGACAACAATAGGTCATCAGTCAGAGGTTCTCTTAGCCTTAGAATTACTCTCGTGCGTTCACCTTCCGGTATTCCTACCTCTGATTCGTACCGGATACGCCACCTCGTGTTGCGTCACTTATTGCATAGGGGATCCAGCGGCACTGCTCAGGGTAACGGGCGAATCCGGAAATGCCTGCCAAGTGGTTAGGGCGCGAATTTACTGACCGGAAGGTTCGTCGTCGAATCCGACNCCACTCGACTTCCCCTGTCTAGGCTTGGGTAACCTGGAAGCCGTCGTGCTTCCCTCGGGTGGCATGGCAGCTAGGCACCGGAAGGGTGCCACAGCTGAACGCTTTCTTCTTTCCTCTGTTTTCCTTTGTGGTTTTTTTCTTTCTCGTCTTTTTCCGTGCTAAACATGAAGTGTGAATAGTTGGTACTTTTACAAAAACCAACTATCTACTCCGATACACTTTCGTTTGACTTCTGGTAATTGGTGTGGGACGGAACACTGTCTACATATAACGCGGTTGCGTGGAGATCTTGTTGAACTGGTTTTTATCATGAAGGATTAATGTATAACTGACGAAATCTGGATCTGGTTGGAACACCTACTGGTTCCCGTATTAAACCAGTTTTCAACTGTGATTGGAATTAGCTTGTTAACACTTGCCGTGGCTTCTCGAATGAGGAAAATCCGCCAGCGGCTGTTCAGTTTATATTTCTACTGGTTTTATGCCCCGGAACATCTGTTTGGTGTCGTTTTACACCAACTGTCTTATAAACTGTACACTGAATCACACTGACGTATGGTATTTAATGTCACATGTGGTGGATATATGCCTACGGCTGTCATCAGGTGTGCGGACTTGCGCTTGATATTCCTCCATTTCCAGCTTTTTCCGCTACATCACATCGAACACCGTATGATACCGATGATTACAGCCACACTTGGGGCGATCTTGTGAGAGGGGATTCGATACATGGCTACTTACAGCGCACACGTTCCCAAGCTCAGCAGGTGGACTGCATTCTATGCGGAATCTCAGTGGACGTTCTGTCCTCGTGACCAGGTTGCCATGGGTTGAATTGTCATCAAGCTGCCCCATGCCGAGCATCTGTTAGATGTCCGCACGCAAGCTGGCCGGAAGACATTTTATTGCCTGCTGCCCCTGGGGTCAGCTTGAAAGCGAAAAAACGATATTACTGAGGTTGCTATCCTGCCGGGTTGGTGGGAGCGCAATGAATGTCACGTTGAGCCAGGTGGGTTTCACCAACTAATGTGAAAAGGAAAACCGCCCGAACGTGTGTTTGGTTCGTTTTCCAATCGTAATACCCAGTTGAGTATGTCTGGTGGGTTTCCTACACTACGGATGACCCAGTGACATCTGGAGAGATCGGCTGAACAACGATGAACCATGGATGTTACCTACTTCCCGGGGTAGTACATTGTATGGACACTCCAGTCGTCAGAAGATTTTTATGAGCTGAAAAGTAACACAATGCAGCCATCCGTTTTGCGTGAGATCAGCTGGAAAGTACGAACTAGATCTGAATGTCCACGGATAGGTTGGGGGCATGATAGTACAATACGGTGCACTCTCTTTGGCCCCCGTAATCCTTAAGTGTGTACATATTACGCCCACGTATCGAGGTGAACTCAGAAATAACAAAAATACTTCCCTCTATGAACCTCAGTTAATATCAAAAGAAAGAGTGAGATTCTAGTTTTGCTGCAGGGTTCCATAGATTTCGCGAGCTTGTGCTGAAACAATACTCCCTAGAGCGAGCACGCCGATACACTGGCGCAACTAACCTATATACAATTGCAACACGGTGAACCGGTACAACAGTTGGGTCCTGTCGCTTGAGTTATTACGAACTAATAAACTTTGTTGTACCAAGCGAATTCAAATTTGAACCACCCGATCTAATAGTTCACGAATGGTTATCTTGCTGTCTGCCGAAGTAATGAGAACTCGGTAGACATCAGGTTAACACTCGTTACTACATCCTGTCTTCTAGCTGGATTACCTTGCATCCGCAGCGCATTCTTGACGGCTTTTGACGAACAGGCTTGTGGGCACGTGCGAAGCTAACATGAGAGATTTATAGGTGCCATAATGCTTCAACAATACTTATGGCCTAAATCATTTGTCATGAGGGTTGACGACCCAATCTGAACCGTTTTAAACGCAATGAACCCGTATTCAGTGGTCATTGGTTGAATTCTAAGGCCATTACCTCGAATAATTTTCATGCGAGTCTGTCATACTGGAGT